AAACCGAAGGCAATGTGTGGCCCTTGCTGGATCCTGATTTGTACAAACTCAATGGTGAAATTACATTCCTGAGACCTTTTGGGGAAATCTGAACAATGATTGAGGTATAAGGTGATATAACGGTATTCATAATTTTCTTTGGTGTGATAATGGTAAAGTGCTTATTTTTCTTTTAAACTTTACCAGTTGGAGATACATGGCTGATAAATTTACAGTGAAATTACATAATGTCTGAAATTTACTTTAAAATACTTCAGAGGGGGAAAAAACATGCAAATGAGTGTGTGTGTAAGAGTTGGGATAGGTAAAACAGAACTGGCAAATATCAACAACCTGAGCTGAGGCATGGGTACAGGAGAAGGCTCATTCTGTAATTTTGTGCATGTTTAAACATATCCACAATAAAAATTTCCTTCAAAAAAGTTGTAGTTGCTTATTACTTTCAAACTAGAAGGAAAAGTTACTAACACTGATTTCACTCAATCTAAACAGAGACTACGTGAGATTAAACAATTAGCCAAGAGCTGCCAAAGAGAATGTTACTTTTCAATTTAGTCTAGTGGCAGTGTATGGATATAAAGTGAATGTGGTTTCCAGAGATATACGGGATTTGTTTTAAAAATACTGGAACTTTTTATTTAAAGATCAAGTCAGAGTTTGCTATGTCAACTTATAGTTTAGTGTCAGCCATCTATAAATTAAACAACTAAACTATGTCAAAGAACTTAAAAGCAAATTGAAAACATACTCATATAACAGTATCATCCAATTACAATGAGTTGAGATCTGGAAAATGCAGATAATCCATTGGGTTATTTCCAATCTTTATTAAAAAATATTTAAGCTTTTTGAATAAAATACATAGAATATACTTAACTTTATTTAGTAAACAGATATTGCATTATAATTTATGAAAGTGAATCATCTAGGAAAAGTTTTACATCGTAATGCACTATTTAGTCTATAGGAATTTAAAATCTGTAGGAATTTAAAATGTGTAAGTTTGTATGATTTGACATAATTTTATGTATGAAATCTAAGTTGACATGTGGTTTTCATTTCTTAAAAGTTTAAATGTTTTTACTTATAATTTTTATATATTCAAATCTAAACTGAAATGCGACTTATCTTTTAAAAATTCCCAGGAATTACACAGTATCATGTAATGATGCTTAAAATAATTTTAACTACTTCTTACTAAAGAAAGGTATTTTATAATTTATACCAGTCTGAGCTCTAAATGATACAGTAAGCCAATTAAGTAATTTCTTCACATTTAGCTGCCTAGAATTCCTGGGTTCTGCAAGAACTGAGAAGTGAATTTTTACCTCTAGAATCATGGCTTCTGAATTAAAGTGTTGTTAGTGTATGTAGTTAAGGGAAATCTTGAAATATTAGAACTCCTAAAATTGGACTCTCTATAATGCACACATGGAAGCTTTCTCTTCTAGAATGGGACCATCCACAAACACAATTCTACCTGACTAATAATCATGACATTTCCAGACTCTCCCTCACTAGTAATTAAACTTGGCATAGTATCATTTTGTCTTTCAGTAATATAAATAGCAACAAATTGCCCCCAGATGTCATTTTTTTGCATCTTATCATTGTGAGCACTCTTATCATTTCACTAAATGAAGAAAATGAGGAAGCAAAACTGGAGGAATTAAAAACTTGGTCCTCAGGAAAATGGAATATCTGCTCCCTTTTTGGAAACTGTCAGGATTACCAGAATTTATGTATCTCTTCTATAGAGGTACTTTCCCTAACTTAGTAAATAGTTGCTGAATTTCATAGAAATCTCTTCACAGCATATTGAATATAGTCTTCTACATTTCAAAATCGGGTAACTTTCCTGGCATGGTTTCTGTTTTGGTACATATATTATTTATCTAGAAGAATACAATGCCTTTCACTTGAAATATGTATTTAGGTGCTTTTAAAGGAAGTATATTTTTAACCTTAAAACTGCTAAAATTTACACTTTTTACTTGCTGACATTATTAAATGCATTTTACCTGATAGCAAATCTTGCGATAAGACAATAATTATTTGAAGTTCACTGCCTTAATAACCATTGGTTTTTGAAGGCATTTAATTCCCAATGTCCAAAACTACCTTATAAAACTCTCAAAACCATAAAGAAAATAATTTATGTAGAAATCTTTTGTGTTCAAAAAGGTTACATGTGAAGCTTATAGAAAATTATTTACAATTCTGTTTGTTCAAATATCTGCAAACATATGTTTGTGTTGAATCTTTAATTTTACTGAGGAGAAGTGAACATTTGTAATAACTTTTAAAACAGAAATACATAAATGTAATAGCTATCTAATATCAATTTTTATTTTAAAAATATTGGAAGTGACTACTACACATAATAGAAGAATGTCCTTTTTAACTCTGATTTTACAAGTTAAAAATATGACAATGCCTGCATTATTTTTCCTTTTGGGATTAAAGTCACCTGTTATATAGACAAGTTTTATTTATGTTGTCCTCCTATAATAAAAGTGAATTACTGAATAGAATATTAGTGTGAACACTCATACTATTTCTACTGTCATTTTCATGAAGACCAACCTCCCCCACTGATATTGGAGTTATACAAATACTAAAACAATAATTCAATCCCATGTTTCTGGGTTCTTAGTTGAGCCAAAGGACTGTATGACTGAATATGTATGACTGAACCATGTCTATTCATAACATAAGGTGAACTGCTTATTAGCATTTTAGAGAGTGGTTCAATTTTCTACCATCTAAAATATGTAACATGTGAATTGTCAAAAAAAAAAAATTACCATGATATTACTTGGGTTGGGTTATTTAACTCATCAATTTTAATTTGGAAATTAAGAAGAAAAATATTTTCAAAGAGGGCCCTCTGAAGACATTTCTTTCTTAGAAAGGTCATTTTATGCATTTACAGGGGCTATTTTGCTCTGAGCTACTAAAATGTATATCTATATGATACTATTTTTCTAGGACAGGGAGGCTTGGTTTATTTGAAGGGTCATAAAAAACACACGCACATAAAATTCAGCTGCTCATCTATTGCCTATCTTTTGCTCTTTCAAGAATTATATATAGACAAAAAGTGTGCGTTTGTTGTTGTTGAAAACAAATACATCCATATAGTACTGCCTTAAACATGAAAATTTTGAAAAACATCACCTTACATTCCCCCATAAAAAAGCAAAAGACATTATGTGTTATGCTCAAAGATCACGAGTTACATACTAAATTGGCTTCCAAATAGCATATATTCTAAATACTATGTTGCTTGCTAAAACTTGTAAAATTCAAGAAAAACTATTTCCTTAATGAAGCACTTAAGAGTAAAACACTGAAATCCCAACAGGTTTGCTACTTTCAGTTATATGTGCTGAAGAAATATTCATTAAATGGAGCAGTGGCTCAGCAACACAATTTCCAAATGCTTATTACATAAATTTTAACATTATAACTTACAGAATATAACCACCAAATGGAGAGCACAACTAAAAACAAAACATTAAATGCATTTTATTTTACAAATGGCAAAGGAAATAAATCCCAGATTAGGTTAAAATGTTGGGCTTGATACCTTATCAAAATGGCCTTCATGAAAATATTTACTCAATGGTAGTTCTACATATCTCCCAATCCTGTTTTAACGTTAATTTACAATGTAAATTATATTTTTGAAAATCTTCAATGAGTGAGACAGATGCACTCTTAAATCAATGGAATTTTGAAAAGTATTGGAAACTTTAAAACTTCAACAATGTTCTCAATTATATACTTTAACTTCCCATATTTTTAAAGTTGAATGACTACTTCCAGGTAATAGATGCACTGAATAAAAAGGATTTTTAATTGTATCTGAGGCATTTTTCATCTTTTTATCAATGCATAAAAGAAGATGGAATTTGGGCACAGAAGGCTTTCCCAGTTTTGAGGGGAAGTTGACAGTTCTAGCTCTGATATTTTTGTCTTGAATTTAGCTGGGTTTTCTCTAAATTAAATCAACTAGTTAATCCTTCTCTTTCAATTTTGTTCAACTAAACTGGGCATGAGTCACTATCAGAAGAATATATAAAATTTTAAAAGTTATAAATACCCTACTTGTAGAGCTTTGATAATGTGTGGATATTTTTGAAATACAAGAATATTCTGGTTTAAAAAATATGTACCTGCAGCTGACAAAATTTGTCTCACAGATATGAATGTTAGAATTATATTAAAAATTGCTTTCTTTTTTGGTTTTAGTTAGGTTCCTGAAAAAGAAAAACGTCCTACACCAAGACTCAGTATTGCATTTGTACAAAATAAAATGACTACATATTAAACAGGCAAAGATAATACTGTTTCTCTCTGGTAATGGGATATCACATGCTTTAGAGTAGGGTTTTTGAAAACTAACTTCTATTAACTCCTTTTGGCAAAGCGGCTAGCATTCATTAATTTATAGAAAAACTTTTCCATTTACTACCCTAATGAGCAGAATGAAATAATACTCCTTCTCAAGGGAACTAGCCTAATCCTGGAGAGATATTCATACACTATTGAAAACTGGTATTTTTCTGGTTAGTTGGGAGCAAAGTACTAGCTTGGTAATGGTATCTATAGAAAGAAAGCCATGAAAAATAAAGCTACAGCTTTTTCTTCAGTGATACCATCCCCATTCAAGAGGTTTAAATTCGTTCTCTTGAGAAAGTCATAGATAGCAGTTCTGAGAGCTTTCCTTTCACAAGGGAAATACATATTTAAAATGTTAGGAGAATGTATCTAGCTTTCAGGCCATTCTTCCATCAGGACTTAAAGCTTCAGGAGAATACCATAAATATTTTGCTTTTTAGGAAAGAAGGAGTTTAAATTCTCAATGGGATCAAAGAAAGTTATGGGAGCACATGGGGTATGAGATATTTCCAAATAGCTTCAGAATTCTGCTACTCAGTATCAAATGCTACTCTGGAAAATATTGAACCCATACCCATGACATCACAATAATAGTCCTTTCATTTCTAAATATTTTATTGTATTTATAAATTATTTATTTGTCAAGAAAGTGGTAAGTCCATAGTGTTTTAAAGCTTCAGGGTTCTGTGATATATAATTCTTTAAAAATATACTGATGGCCACTCGTGCTGTGGTATAAAACATCTCAAAAATATTGGTTATTTGAAAATGCCATATTTGGTGTACTTCTGTCCAATATTGTAGTACAGTGAAGATAGGTTAAGCACAGTCTATAACTGGCAAATTATCAGGATACAAATGTCAGGTCACGTTGTGATAAAAAACATGTGATGGTCAATAAAAACTGAAATGGAAACTCAGAAAAAATCATAACCAAGTGGAAATATTGAAGTTTTCCAATGGCCTGATCCATATTAATTCAAGACAGCTCCCCTTCTGACACTTCAGATAATATTGGTCATGGATTATTTTCATTATGGGAAGAAAATACATTTTTAATCCCACTGGTAGATTTTTCTAGCAGCATACTTGATGTAGTAAGTATATATTTAGATATATTGTAAATATACACAGTTGTTGAATAAATTATAGTGTTATGCAAAAATTCACACAAGGAGGCACTTGAGTGGCATGTTAGAAAATGATCTTTGGTAAAGGCAAAATGAAAAACCTGTTTCATTTAGTTACAATGAAAATATATTAACTTACTGAAATGGAAAAGATGTTTTTCAAATAGGCCACAAAATGGTAAATGCTATGGCTATAAACCTCTGCCTGTTTTTTCCTGTTTGCCATTTACAGTCTCTTTATAGTAGTAAATGATGATAGAAAGCTTTCACATTCAGAGCTGGTCATTTTCATTTGTTTTAACTTATTTTGAGGGGCAAAAAACCCGGTATCTGATCTCAGTAGTAGTTGCACAGCTGTATGGTATTGTTATTCAAATCCACAAATTAACTAAATGTTTTATTATGTAGATGACAAATTACTAATGTCCAAGGCTTTCCAGAACCATTTTTTTCCAGCATTCCTTTAAACTATAGAAGGATTTTTGTATCCGACCCAATTTAATTGTCAAAAATTGCTTGAAAAGTCCAGGGTTTTAATGTCTTCTGAATCTGTTGCTTTTGAAATTAGGCATTTCTGTTAAGTACTGAAAATGTATTGATGATATTATTCAATAGAAAAAAATAACTAAATGTAACAAAGGAACTGACTGAATATAAAAAATTTGGTACGTCACTGTACATTGTAATTTTAAAACATGAATCTGTCCTTTTATATTTTAGTCAAAGATGCAGGCATCTCTGATATGCTTGTCACAGTAAATTTGAAAGTCACAAGTAGTCAAAAGATTTGAAAATCATTTCAAGAGGAATACAACATTTGAAAGTTATTATAGCTAGTCAATAACATTTGAAAAACATTTAAAGTGGTTGGTTTATAGATATTGTATTTAATATGATGGCTTAATTGATCAAAAATTATTGGTAACTGCTATTCCATCAACTGTAATTGAAAATAATTGGTAACTTTACAAAAATAAGAATAGATCTTGAATTTTATATTTGGAAACTTGCTTTTAAGTGGTGTTTAATTAAAGCAAAGTTTCTATTGTTGCATGTGTATTTTTTAACCCATACCATTTGACCCATGAAAGTACAGTGGGTGGTATGGCTGGAAGATAATGGGGGATGGCTCAGATGTTACATAAGTAGGGTACCATGCCTCAGCCACAAAGTACGGAGCAGGCTGATAAAAGCAAGTTACCTTTTCTGTATTGGGTAGAATATTCAGTTCTCCAAGTACTTTCAAAGCCATCATGGTGATCAGGTGGAGAATCTGTCTTCTTTCACGACTCATGAGACAAACGGTGCTTTCATTCACAACTCCACGCAAGGTCATAAGGTAGTCATACTTGGTCATTCCTTCACCTATGAAATGGTTTTGGAGGTATGATTCAATTTTCTTTTGTTGTTCTTCTATACGAGGAAAATCAATAAAGAATCTAGAGCACATGTAACGTTCTAGGTTTTTGATTTCTGACATACAGGCTGGTTTGAAGCCATGAACCAGCAAGTTGCAGTACTTCAGAAGGCCACCACCTCTAATCTCTTCAGGTTTCCTGGTAGATATGAGCTTGTGTTGCAGATGCGTCATTGCTTCCTGGAAGTCTCCATACATGCTTTCAGCTACCACAACAGGATAGGACTCTTTGGTTAGCTTGGCATTTTTGTCATTGTAGAAGTCTAACATGGGATCCAAAACAATTTGAAAGGAATCTACACTAAATTCAAACTGCCGTCTGAGTGAACTCACAAATTTTAGTTCTAAATTCTTTCCAGTGTTATTTGAAAGGGAGATAAGACTCCAACAATCATGCCCATTGCAAACCTTGATGAATTTCTGTACGTAAGCCTCTTTCATGATATCTGGGGAGATCTTTTCTTTCTTTACACCTTTTGGTAAAAAGTCAAGTAGACAACCTAGAACTGCATCCTTAACAACCTGAAATTCTTCGTTACTTGGAAGCTCAACACCAAAAATAATGTCCAGATCCTTATAGCTGATTCCATTATGGCTTGCAAGTATGTAACTTGCTATGGAACCATTCAATCTGGCATCTTTAACAATAATTCCTTGCCCTATGAGTTGATCTTTCACAACATGAATGATGTCTTTTGGTTTTACCTCCATTGTGGGGAAATTCCCCTTTCCATGAATTGGAATTACTTCATCTAACACTTGATCCAGTGTTTTAACTTGATCCCAAGTGAGATTGGTGAATCTGATTTCAGACATTGTGAAGTCAGTAGATCACTAGACAGCAAGCAAAATATTGGGAAGAAATATGTTAGCACCTTAAAATCAATGCTAAAGCATATAAAAAAGTTAAAAATAGACTTACCCTCAACATAAATCATGATAATACTAGGAAGGAAACTACCAATATATTTAATCATATTTAAATATAAAAGTGAAATAAAAGCCACAATTATTATGTCAAAGATGTTAGATACATTGATGAATGCAAACAGATTTCTCAGGAATTTGCTGGAGTGACTGTTGATATAAAATGGTGGCCTTTTTCAATCTTTCTTCGTGTAAATCCTATGATGATGGAATTTCTTTGGCGATATAAATTTTGTTCATGGGATAACCATGATGTATCATTGAGATTAATTATCATGATTTTAAAGTGAGATCAGATAACATGTCTCTGTGTTAGAACCAATGGACTCAATAGCATAGTGTTTACAAGCAATATACATAATCTTCAATCCCATAAGCATCAGATCACTCTCTCATATACTTTTCAGTTTCATACATATAACTACTCTTACTTTAAAGAATATTACTGAAGTCTTCTGTTAGAGTATGAGCTCCTTTAATTCCTTAATAAGGAAAGTACCAAATTTAACACCTCTTCTATGTGCCCAGTAGCCCTTTAAAAAATGTTAGTTGAAGGGATGTCAATTTAAAATGAAAAACAGATGAGATTACTAAATTTGTACCTGAAATGAGAATAAGAATATATAAACCCATAAGATTCCTAAGCTTTAAAAAATGTTCACTGTAGATTTGCAATATAATATGCTCAGATAATTTTATAGTTTAGGGAATTTTAGGAAGTTAACATTTTATAATGTATAGTAACACTATAAATGCAAGTAGATATAATTATGTAATTATGTACAATCACAGTGATTACATGGATCTTTAAGTACATTAATAAGCTGTCTAAATAAATAAATCTAGGAAAGTAAGTAACATTCAGCACGGATATACTTTTGGGGTTAGGCATTTGTTCCTGACTTCCAGAAATAAAAAACAATATGAAGCTTAAGACAGATTTGTGTAGAAAGTATTCATATTTCACCTATCTAAGGAGCTATCAAAACAGAATATAAATATTTGAAATTTAGTATTATGTCCTTCCCTAGTAGAACTACAGCAAACGGAATCATCTTATTTGACATCTACATGGACTAGTTTGATAGTACATGCATTTTGCAAAAGGCCAATTAAGCAACAGCATATCTGTGTTAGTGAGAAGGAAAAATTAAACCTATTCTGTTTCTCTGTATGAAATCCTTATATATATGAACTACAGACTGAATATTTATTTTTATTATATGATGAAATGACCCACGAAATAGGATGCTTATTTTAAGCTACTTTAATGACTGTTTATACAGTTTTATCAGCCACATGAATATCCAAATCAATCCTTAAAGACAGATGGATCAAACTGACTACATATCAGGCTTTCAGAATTTGATAACTTATCTATCCAATGAAATGATCTATATAGCATCTTTAGGACACTGGAAAGAGCAAGATGCTACATGAAGTGATACAACATGCAATGAGAACTGGTAATCTTATTTTCTAATTCCTTCTCCTGAAATTATCACTGAATTATTACAAGCTAACAGTTTGTTATACTCAAATTCTCAATCTAGAAAAAAATAGTTCATAATACTGGATGGCTTCATGTAAAGGTTTTAGGAAGAAAAACAATTTACCTAATACATATTTTTAAAATATCACATATAAACTATAAGATTTTAATTGATCATACAGCAAAAGTTCTAAAATTCCTTCTTCATGTGCAAATTTGTTTTGCAAATAAACATTTTCCTTTCCTTAATGGCAAATTTCCATTGTCAATATCAGTAAAAATTTTAAAAAATTCAATGTTCTAATCCTAGGCCTACAGTCTCCATGTAAATCATCTATGATCTGAAAATAAAGGAAAACATTTATGTTGCTATATTGACATTACTGAAATTACCAAATTCTTCCCCAAACAAAAGTTGACAGGACCTTTATATACAAATAAAACCATTCAGAGACATAACTAAAATAAATCATTGCTAAAATGCAGAATTCCTTGATGAAAAGATATCCTTCAAACCAAGAAATACGAAGCCCTACTTAACATCTTGGATCTGTTCCTAGATATCAGAGAAGGGAGAAGATAGGATTTTGTTTCCCAAACAGAATCACAGTAAGATCTTGCAAAGATAAGAAAGTGGCCCAAAATTCAACCTCAGTTTACACCAGGAAAGTGGTGTAGAAAAACTGTCCATCAGTGTGCAACTTTCCAATAGCCACTTAGTTATCTATGCTAGTGATTTCCAAACGTTATAGTCTTTTCAATTATCTACAAGCTTTAAAAGCACACATATAAAATAGTTAAGGCCTAGCATTTCTTAATAATTACAGAGACAGTGAAGACAACTTGCTAGGATGTGGAGAAATGGTGTCCTTGCATGAGCAACACATTTTTCAACTGTCTAAATCAAGGCTTTAATAATCAGTTAGTTTTTTTTAACTTTTCTCTAGCCATAACTATGAAAGTTTGTTTTTAAAATCAAGTCTATTTTATTGACATATCATTACTAACTGACAAATTCTGAGTTACCATATCACTAACTACCTTTACTGTTATATAAGAAAATGAAAATTATAAATTTTTAAAATTAGCCCTAGAAAAAAGTGTAATTATGATAAAAATTTGTGATACATATATACTCAAACATACATATACATATAGATATATATAAGCACAAAATATAATAAAATACATGTCACAATGGAGTAAATATAAGTGATTTGTACTGATCTGGAATCTATACATGCCTCCAACAAGGCTGACCTCTATTAACATGAATAATCAAGATTTGACAATAACGTTATGCTCCGTTTGGCACAGCTATTGTTCATTTTCACATAATGTACAATATCAATGTGTTATTAGTACAAATTTCAAATATGGCATTAAAGTAATAGGACTTATCTTAATGTGTAGATTATGGCTCCATATTTAATCACATATAGTAGAGTCAATCACCCATGTATCAAAAACAGCACATTAGAAAACTTGTTGGGAAACTTAATTTGAATTTTCTAAATCAAAAGTATGGCTAAATAGAAACTTTGGATGAATGTCATGGTAAAGGTGGAAAAACTGCAACAAAGCCACCCACATTGCTTATGATACTGTCTTGGATACAATCCAACTCTTAGTTACTGAAAGTGTGTTTACTGAGTATGAATTATAAAGCTACATTTTCATGAGTTAAAATTCCAAATTCAAGGTAGAAACTCTTCAATAACTTTCCACATAAACCTCAACAGAAGCACAAAACATGAAATTTCTAATTATCGTTTTCAAAATGTGGAGATCAGCAGTTCACATTGCAGAATATTTAAAACTTCTTTTGGCTCCCTGTCTTCTCCCAATTTACTTATCCTTTAAGCTAACATTTTTCCCATCTAGCCTAACCTATTAGTATGCCTGTAATGTATCTGACTATAGTAAATGCCCAAATCAATACATTGTGGTTTCCATTATTCAACTGGTTAAATTCATCTGGGAATGCAAAGCAAAGCAAGCAATTTGCCAAGATATCACAAAAGACTGTGAATGGATATTTGTATAACAAATAAAATGTAATTGTTCTCCCTATTACAACCCTATGTTCCCTCTGACCATGGGAAAAATAGGAAGTTAGCCACTCTTTACCTGTCTATATTAATATTAGAACTATATTTTCAAAGAGAATGAGAAAAGATGTCATACTTACATTGAAAGGATTACTTTCAAGAATGCAATATAGTTGAGTTAAAATGATTATTCAGATCCTTCAGTGAAGATAGGAATTTTCATATTATCACCGAATAAAGTCATAAACCAATCAGAAAAACTGCAAGATAATACAAGCAAAAATAAAGTTAATAGATATTATATACAAATATATAATGATGTCCCACAGCCAACAGTCCTGCAAATTATATATATATATACATACATGCATACACACACACATACATACACACAGAAGAAATGATAAAATGATTCCTCTAAAATAGTGGTTGTCAAAATTTAACATGCATTAGACTCTAATGCATGTTAAAATTTGACAACCACTATTTTAGAGCAATCATTTTATCTGTGTGTAAATACACAGATTTCTGGGTCCCACCTCTAGAGTTTCTAATTTAGCAGGTCAGATGTGGGGCGAGAATATCTGCATTTCTAATAACTTCTAAGATGATGCTGATGCTGCTGGTCAGGGAATGACACATTAAGAACTGCTACACTAAAGAAAACTGAGAAGAAATGGTAAAGGAAAAGGAGTCTCAATAGCAGTGCCTAGTCCCTCATATTTTGGCTATTTCTACTAAATTTAAAACATTACATTAAATAATACAGAAAATCCTAATCAAAGTGAATGCTCTTTTAAACCATAAACTTTTGAAAACATTTTAACAGTGCAATATTGTTTTGTGAGCTGGACATTAAGGCTAGTAGAAAGTCTTTCTAAAGCTTGTACATATTGTGGTCCTAAATCTAATTAGTTCTCTTACCTATAATAAATGATTGTATACAAAAATGAATTCCTGTACTTTACAAACTTTGAAGTTATATATCCATATATACCTACCTATAGACAAACAAGATTTTGGTCAGAATGTATTATATTTTACCAGTATAAAGAAGTATTAAACATGATTTGACTATGGGAAAAAGGTATTAGATATTTTATTTGACATATTGCATTTGTTTCCAAGAGAAGATATTAATGTCTGTGAGAAATAACGGTTCAGTATTTAATTAAACAATGATTTACTCATAATCAACCATTATCCCTTTAAAATACAGATACCTATTTCAGAAAAAATAGTATTTTCTTATATCAAGAAGAAAAGATGATACTTATCAAATAATATCAATTTGATGTTTCCATGCTGTGTTCAATAAGATTGTAGAATACCCTGAATAGTATACTGCAATAAAAAAAACTATAAAATAAAGTGTTAATCATCTCACAGAAGTCTCTTGCATTGTTTTCACTCTGTCAAAAGTAAAACCTATATTATTACTTTAACCTAAAAGAAAACTACCATTGGTATTTTACTCATTCAATACTGAAAGGAACAACAGTAAATAAAATACTGATTTTGATACTTGTGAACCAATAAGCCAGGTAAGGTCAGACAGAGCCCTCACCCAGTCATTAACTTTGTGTCTGGCTCCATGATGAAAAATGTAAGATGTCTACTGTTTTGTCATTTTGCTCTTCAAAAATAAAGTTGTGATATCAGTTAACTAGTTGGATGCTCAAATCATATACTTTTAATAATTGTTGGGAAATACAGAGGGAGCTGTAAAAGGAATAAAGCATTAAAATAGCTATGTAGCAATAAGAGAAACCCTTTTAACCAAATTATCTTAACAGTGAAATTTGATTTTCTTTTCAACTATCAACACTGCAGATATCTTTTGTGCTTGTTTATTGTGCTAATCCAAAGCAAAAGGATACCAAAGATAGTAAAAGGCAAAGCAAGTGAGTTGTTTTAAATGGTTCAAAAGTGATCTCTGTACCAACAGAGAGCTCTAGAGCTTTAGTTGCCTAATTATAGAGAAAGCTAATTAAAAGCAGAAATGTGTTTCCAATAGTCCTTATTGTATCACTAAGAATGAGACTGAGAAAGAAAATGTGACACATATACACCATGGAATACGATGCAGCCATTAAAAAGGATGAGTTCGGGGGGTGGAGCAAGATGGCCGAATAGGAACAGCTCCAGTCTCCAACTCCCAGCGCCAGCGACACAGAAGACTGGTGATTTCTGCATTTTCAACTGAGGTACTGGGTTCATCTCACTGGGGAGTGCCAGACGATCGGTGCTGGTCAGCTGCTGCAGCCCGACCAGCGAGAGCTGAAGCAGGGCGAGGCATTGCCTCACCTGGGAAGCGCAAGGGGGAAGGGAATCCCTTTTCCTAGCCAGGGGAACTGAGACACACAACACCTGGAAAATCGGGTAACTCCCACCCCAATACTGCGCTTTAAGCAAACCAGCACACCAGGAGATCATATCCCACACCTGGCCGGGAGGGTCCCAAACCCACGGAGCCTCCCTCATTGCTAGCACAGCAGTCTGTGATCTACCTGCAAGGCAGCAGCGAGGCTGGGGGAGGGGCGCCCGCCATTGCTGAGGCTTAAGTAGGTAAACAAAGCTGCTGGGAAGCTCGAACTGGGTGGAGCTCACAGCAGCTCAAGGAAACCTGCCTCTCTCTGTAGACTCCACCTCTGGGGACAGGGCACAGTAAACAATAACAAACGAAGCAGAAAGCTCTGCAGACGCAAACGACTCTGTCTGACAGCTTTGAAGAGAGCAGTGGATCTCCCAACAGGGAGGTTGAGATCTGAGAAGGGACAGACTCCCTGCTCAAGTGGGTCCCTGACCCCGGAGTAGCCTAACTGGGAGACATCCCCCACTAGGGGCAGTCTGACACCCCACACCTCACAGGGTGGAGTACACCCCTGAGAGGAAGCTTCCAAAGCAAGAATCAGACAGGTACACTCGCTGTTCAGAAATATACTATCTTCTGCAGCCTCTGCTGCTGATACCCAGGCAAACAGGGTCTGGAGTGGACCTCAAGCAATCTCCAACAGACCTACAGCTGAGGGTCCTGACTGGTAGAAGGAAAACTATCAAACAGGAAGGACACCTACACCAAAACCCCATCAGTACATCACCATCATCAAAGACCAGAGGCAGATAAAACCACAAAGATGGGGAAAAAGCAGGGCAGAAAAGCTGGAAATTCAAAAAATAAGAGCGCATCTCCCCCGGCAAAGGAGCGCAGCTCATCGCCAGCAACGGATCAAAGCTGGACGGAGAATGACTTCGACGAGATGAGAGAAGAAGGCTTCAGTCCATCAAATTTCTCAGAGCTAAAGGAGGAATTACATACCCAGCGCAAAGAAACTAAAACTCTTGAAAAAAAAGTGGAAGAATTGATGGCTAGAGTAATTAATGCAGAGAAGGTCATAAACGAAATGAAAGAGACGAAAACCATGACACGAGAAATACGTGACAAATGCACAAGCTTCAGTAACCGACTCGATCAACTGGAAGAAAGAATGTCAGCGATGGAGGATCAAATGAATGAAATGAAGCGAGAAGAGAAACCAAAAGAAATAAGAAGAAAAAGAAATGAACAAAGCCTGCAAGAAGTATGGGATTATGTAAAAAGACCAAATCTACGTCTGATTGGGGTGCCTGAAAGTGAGGGGGAAAATGGAACCAAGTTGGAAAACACTCTTCAGGATATCATCCAGGAGAACTTCCCCAACCTAGTAGGGCAGGCCAACATTCAAATCCAGGAAATACAGAGAACGCCACAAAGATACTCCTCGAGAAGAGCAACTCCAAGACACATAATTGCCAGATTCACCAAAGTTGAAATGAAGGAAAAAATCTTAAGGGCAGCCAGAGAGAAAGGTCGGGTTACCCACAAAGGGAAGCCCATCAGACTAACAGCAGATCTCTCGGCAGAAACTCTTCAAGCCAGAAGAGAGTGGGGGCCAATATTCAACATTCTTAAAGAAAAGAATTTTAAACCCAGAATTTCATATCCAGCCAAACTAAGTTTCATAAGTGAAGGAGAAATAAAATCCTTTACAGATAAGCAAATGCTTAGAGATTTTGTCACCACTAGGCCTGCCTTACAAGAGACCCTGAAGGAAGCACTAAACATGGAAAGGAACAACTGGTACCAGCCATTGCAAAAACATGCCAAAATGTAAAAACTATCAAGACTAGGAAGAAACTGCATCAACTAACGAGCAAAATAACCAGTTAATATCATAATGGCAGGATCAAGTTCACACATAACAATCTTAACCTTAAATGTAAATGGACTAAATGCTCCAATTAAAAGACACAGACTGGCAAACTGGATAAAGAGTCAAGACCCATCAGTCTGCTGTATTCAGGAGACCCATCTCACACGCAGAGACATACATAGGCTCAAAATAAAGGGATGGAGGAAGATTTACCAAGCAAATGGAGATCAAAAAAAAGCGGGGGTTGCAATACTAGTCTCTGGTAAAACAGACTTTAAACCATCAAAGATCAAAAGAGACAAAGAAGGCCATTACATAATGGTAAAGGGATCAATTCAACAGGAAGAGCTAACTATCCTAAATATATATGCACCTAATACAGGAGCACCCAGATTCATAAAGCAAGTCCTTAGAGACTTACAAAGAGACTTAGACTCCCATACAGTAATCATGGGAGACTTCAACACTCCACTGTCAACATTAGACAGATCAACGAGACAGAAAGTTAACAAGGATATCCAGGAATTGAACTCATCTCTGCAGCAAGCAGACCTAATAGACATCTATAGAACTCTCCACCCCAAATCAACAGAATATACATTCTTCTCAGCACCACATCGTACTTACTCCAAAATTGACCACGTAATTGGAAGCAAAGCACTCCTCAGCAAATGTACAAGAACAGAAATTATAACAAACTGTCTCTCAGACCACAGTGCAATCAAACTAGATCTCAGGACTAAGAAACTCAATCAAAATCGCTCAACTACATGGAAACTGAACAACCTGCTCCTGAATGACTACTGGGTACATAAGGAAATGAAGGCAGAAATAAAGATGTTCTTTGAAACGAATGAGAACAAAGATACAACATACCAGAATCTCTGGGACACATTTAAAGCAGTGTGTAGAGGGAAATTTATAGCACTAAATGCCCACAAGAGAAAGCAGGAAAGATCTAAAATTGACACTCTAACATCGCAATTAAAAGAACTAGAGAAGCAAGAGCAAACACATTCGAAAGCTAGCAGAAGGCAAGAAATAACTAAGATCAGAGCAGAACTGAAGG